AGAAAATAAAAAAATCTAAGAATTGCAATGACAATAAATACTATTATTAAATTTAATCTACTCACTAAAAGTTATTATAAAAATAATTATTAAGATTTTACACTAACATCTAAGCAATAAACTAAATATTATAATGATAGAAATAATGTAATTTTTCTTATTTTAAAAATGTACTACTAATTTTAAATTAATGCTGAAAACTACTGTACGCTAAAAATAATTACTGTGAAACTATCAATAATATTAAACAATTGGAATACTGGAGAAGAAAAAGAGTAGAGAAAGCTATCGATTTGGAGACGATACTGTTAAAAAACGATTTTTGTAATGGAACATCGTTTGAATTAGTGGACTTCTGAATCGAATTCGCTAAATGGAGCGAATTTCTTAAATTTGAAAAAACTTCCCTAGGGCCGTAAAATAGCTCTATCTAGGGGACTCTTTCGATTTTTTAAATTTGGTAAACGGCGTTCGAAAGCTTGAAACATTTCCTACAAGAAAAGTGAAAAAAAAATTTTCGATTTTTCAAACTTTTAAGCTCCCTATAGGCCCTTAAATTAACTAAATATGTAAATTTGAAAAAATATTTATTTGGTTCATTTCTTGTGTAGTCTTTATGTACTACTACACTATTTCAAACGTAAAGGCCGAAGTAATAATTTATAAAGTTTTACGTACAGATATTGGATTGTAAACTATTGTTTTAGAGAGTGTACACAAATGTGTAAAGCTGTTTACTCACCGACCGCGCAATCCGTTACAATTTTTCACCTTGACTTCGAGATGTATAGTTGAAAAATCACGTTTCGCAGTAGAAAAAGCCACTTACGGCCAGACGCGGATACCGAAAACGCGCACAGTCCGCCCGATAAGGTGGCGTACTGCAATTTCATTGAATACATAAAGGGTCATCGATTATTCGTGGTACTTGCATTGCGCGGCGGGCGTTGTGGTGCATCTGACACAGATGGCGCTCGAGTCGCGCGAGTCGACACGCGCGTTATGATGATTCGGGACTCGGGAGTCTCGGCTGCTGCTCTTTGCACGACACGGTGCACCACCGACGCAATCAACGTTTCTGCACAGTTCTGTATGCACGTTGTGTATTATAGATATCAAGGCTATTGAGCTCGATACAGGAAGTGCAACTTCGATGGACGCGAGACTATCGAAACGAGTCGAGGCGAATTAAGTCAGATCGATATTGATGCAATTATGTCGTCCGAGCAAAACAGGAAATTCTGGACAAGAAATGCATCGATTTTCGAAATTGCCCGAAAAAGACTCGAATTTTCCCCCAAGTAAAAGAAAGGAAGAATGAGGAAGGATAAGGTCGTGCGCGAGAGAGACACCGCATACATAAAACAAGGAAGCATCAGCTGCATTTCGTTTGGTGAAAAAAAGTCGTCCGTCAAAGAGCTCTCGCGCTCCCTCCTTATTTATTATAGACACGAGTTATATACGCAAATGTGCTCATGAATATGCATCAGCAACTGCAGCAGTGCAACACCATCCCTTTTTCACGGTGTATAAGCGGGAGCGAGTCTATATACACTTGGGCAGGTATAACACACAGACACACACGTAAAATCATAGGGAAGTGGGGAAGGGGAGAGGGGCAGAGAAGGGCTAGTTCACGCGGCGGTGACAGCATAGGTGCAGATGCAGGTGCATCGGCCTCCGCGAAAACACACCCACGCAAGTGCACTTTCGCAGGTTTTATACATGCAGATTGAATTTACAGTTATTGGTTTTTTCTTTGTCCTTAGAAGTTAGAGGGTATATGATGAATTTATGAAAATTTACGACTTGAATTGCCGAGTACGAAAATCTGAAACGAAAAAAAGAGCATGTATGTACTGTGTACAGTGCACACGCGGTGTTTACCACTGCCACGGTCTCCGCACGGTAGCGCCGCGCGCGACTAAACCCTTCGAAAGCAGCTCTTCGTGCATTCAACGGCGCAAGGAAGCTTTTGTGCGGTAGTCGAGTCGAAGGCCCGAGATACTTCCTGTAGATTGTTTTCAACGATTGTCTTGATAATATTTAAAAATTACAATAAAAAAAAATGTATCTCATTTAATGTAAAAAATAGACGATAATTTTTAGTACAACAGTAGAGCGCAAGAGCAATGTACCGCTATATATACGCGTACAGTTATAACAGCAGCGGTGTAACAGCAGAAGCGCGTGCGCTGCCACCCCAATGTTGACTCGGATATAACGGTATATGCTCTATGTGTGTAAGTGTGTGTGTGTGTGTGCGTGTGTCAGCGGGAGTGCGCGCGCCGCTCTATATACGTATACGCGACTATAGCGCGACCACCGCTATATAAGACAGGGTGGCACACTATACACGCACACACACACATACCCGGGTGGGCGAAGTGAGGGCGTAAGGGGGGGGGGGAGAAAGCAACGGGCCAAAGGCGGTTCCAGTACCGCTAGAGAGTGTATGGTGGCCTCTATCTGTGTTAGTGTGTCTGTGTGTGTGCGCAGCGCAGCAGTGTCGTTTTTGTGTTTCTGTTCCGCGCGCGCACACACCGTTATCGTGGCAGCGCAGCCTATGCCGATATACCGCAAACGTGTGTGCGTTCACGTATACGTATACACATTCACGGAATCGCGCATAACTGCCTGCAAATTGGTGTAGTATATTTCTGTGTGTATGTGAAGGTGCGCGAACTAGCAGCGCGCGATAGAGATAGAGCCAGCAGCAGCAGCAGCAGAGCCTGTGCCGCTGCTTCTCCGCTCCGTGCTCAGACACTGCAACGGTGCTGCCGTGTACAAGCTCTGCGTTTTAGGCTGTAGCTCGTGTATAGCTGCAGCAGCACAAAGTCCGACAGAGAGAGAGAGAGAGAGAGAGAGAAGTGAGTCGCGCGTACATACATAGATACATAGATATCCCCGCAGAGAAGCGCGATATAATTTCTTCCGTGCTCGAGGTGCGCCAGTCTCGACGTACATACATACGTATATAGACGTATCAAGTGTGTGCGTGCGCGTGTGTGTACATGCTATATAAGAGCAGCTGAAACAGCTGGAGCGCACCTACGATAAATATAAACAGGAGAGAAGAAGGCTCGTTAACGTGAAAGGAAGAAAAGCAAAGTGTGGGTGTGGGTGTGTGATAATATATAACCGCCGTCGCCGCGAGAGAGAGAGCTTGCTCAAAGCTGCGAGTAGCGCGCGGACGAGTCGAAGCAAAGCCGCTGCTGCACAGAGAGCTGCTGCTGATGCACCGCCATCGCCAGTCAGTCAGCCACCACCAGCTCTAGCTGCTAGCTTCTATCCGCGCCACCATTTTACCACCAAGAGCACAAGTGTAGTATGTACACTCGCAAGCTCGGCGGCTCGTGCGCCTCGAGCATCCCCCTACAAACGTGCGTGTTCTAAACACGGCATATATATAAAACACCACAGCAGTAGCAGCAGCGAAGAGAAGCACAAGTGCGTTTTGTCCGTCTACGTATATAACGGGTCGCGCTATCTTCTTGTACGGTGTTTGCGCGTGTGTGGGTGCGCGCGCGCAATCGAGTGTTTGTGTGCCTATGCCCGTATTCCAAGGAAAGGGCACATATCTCTGTCTCGCGCGAGTGATGAAGCATGGCGCGCGGCGAGTTATGAGCAGCAGCAGCACGGGCTGGGCGCCACAAGCTCGTCCTCTGCTCGATCTTTTCGCCTAAGTGGTGCGGGTGTTTGTTTTTCTGCAGCAGCGTGCGTGACTGACTGCATGCGCGCGCGCGCGCCACCGTGCTCAAAGTGTGTTAGTGTGTGTGTGCTACGAGCTGAGAACGTTTTTTCGTAAAATCAAAAGCCAAATAGTTGAGAAATTCTCTCCTGCGTGTGCACGATCATAGATGCATGTGCGGAAGCTCCTCGAGCGCCGCTGCCGCTACCACCGCTGCTGTCGTCGCCGCCGCAGCCGCAGGGGGTGAACGCGGACGAGTGTGAGAGAACAAAATAAGCGTCTGCTGCCTGCGCTGCAGCCAACGCCAGCCACTGCTGCTGTTTAACCACACTCTGTACGATATATCCACCAGAGCCAGAGACAGCCAGTGAAAATCGTGTGCCGTCGTTTTGTGACAAAATGGCAGTTCGCAGTAGTATAAGCAGGCACGTAACGGCAACAACGGGATCACCACCACCGCGTAGCTGCTTCGAGCTGCCGCTGTTGTTGTCGTTGCTGCCGCCGCCTGCGAAACAACACCGCAGCTGCTGCTGCAGCTCGTTCTCGGCGACGCCGACGACAACGACGACGACGTCGAACGAGTCGTGGGGATCGATCCGTTGAGTCGAGTGTCTCGCGTCTAAATCTGTGTCGTATGTAAATTCGCCAACGATATATACACGTAATGTGCCTCGTGAAACGCGCAAAAAGCATGGCAGCAGTCGGGTCTTCTGCAGTGTGCAAGTTTTGCAGTGGTGTGTGTTCATCAACGACGACGACGACGACCATAATAATGATGTCGTCGCGTTTGTAAGACAGCAACGTCGCCAGGTGGGCATGTGTCGTTGACTCGACAACGTGAGAGAGCAAAAAAAAACGTACAGAGATATAAGGCTTCGAGTCAGTGCTTATATGGTGTACCAATAGTGTTTTTGTGAAAAAATATGATGCATCAGTGAATATCAGTGAATCAGTGAAATTAGTGCTGTGCTCCAGAAAAAAAAAAAATAAATAAATGAAAGTGCGTGAACGCGAATAAAATTCATCAACAACAACAACAAAAAGGCAGAGCATCACCCCCTCACAATAGTGACTCGAGACCTCCAGCGGAAGATACACATACTAGTGCTTCGATATTATGATAGAAACAGTGCGCGTTGTTATTGTTGCCATTTCTCATCGCTCGTTTGTCCGTCGATAAAAATCCGAGAGAAAGAAATTCAGTGTGCAAAGTTCTCCCCTCTCGTCGTTGTTGCTGCGCCGTGATAATCTCAAAACAACAACAACAACAACAACAACAAAAGAAAGAAGGAAGAAAGAAAGAAAGAAAAGAAGGAAAAACAACGCGCGGCCAGACTAGAAGGAAAAAAGTGAGTATGCGCGCTGAGCGTTGGGTGGGTTTATACTATACGCTATGCTGGCTGCGGAGCTGCTGCTCCTGCCGTGCACCGCTGCCTGCTGCTGCTGCCCTTACAATATACTCACTCTCTAGCTAGCTAGCTGGCTATACTATAGCTGCGTTCGTTTCAACTCTCACTCGCTCTCTGACTACTCTTTGCATGCTCATTACGCATACGAGGTCAACGTGTCAACGAACGAACGGCGCGGCTCTCTCTCTCTCTCTCTCTCTGGGCTTATAAGCTCTCTATGCAAACGACGATGCTGCTCGGCGGGAGGGTGCAGTGCTTATTAAACGTATAATAATTATAAATATATAAGAGAAAACGACGACGACAACGACTCGTGTATTCGGAGAGCTCCGAGAGTTTTTTTTTTAATATTTTAATAATGCAACAAATCGCCGGACACAGTTGGTGTACGTCGACAGCTGTGCGCGTGCATCGCTGTGCAGTATCGTCGATGACGACGAATATCATTATTATTGTATTATTATTATTATTATTATTTTGCATTATGATAACGACGACGACGATGATATGCAGGAATAAACGGGGGCGAACGATCAAAAGCGTTTTTTTTTATATGTATTATCGGAAAAGAAGTCGCTTTTCGCGTGGCGTATATAACAGGCTGTTTTTATAACCTCGCCAAAGTACGGAGTACAAGTAAAAGAGTAAACACTCGTTTTCTCTCGCTCGTTTCGAGGGCTATCGATGGCACGGGGGCGTGCAGCAGAGCATATTTTGCACACTCGAAATGCGTAATGTGCGTCATTTTTTACGCTTTTTACTCGTTTTTTTCCTCCCCCAGTTTCGTCTCTCGTTCTGCGGTGGGTTGCGTGTACAGGCCATCCATGTTGTAGGATTGGCGTTGATGACCTCTCGTAACTATCATCAAATTGAATTACCCAACACACACACACACACACACACACACACACACACACACACACATACACGCGTGCGGCGGCGGACGTGGACTTGAGGGAGGGGGATCGAAAAGTTTTCTGTCGAGCTACCAACTCCTGTAACGTAATGAAAATCGTCTTTTCCTAAAGGATTAGAGGCGCTCTCGAGTTTGTGCTACGCAGCAGCAGTAACGGCAGTAACGGCACATATACTTCGAATCCGTTTACTCTTCGACTTGATCATGGAAGTTGAGATGCAACTACAGCAGCAGTTACCGTGAAATTTTCTCTAGGGCATGGATTTCTCATCGTGACTTTGAGAAACATATTTTAAATAGACAAAAAGAAACGAACCAAGAGCAATATGAAAGACAAGCGTCTTATTCGCGACTTGACGGTTGATTGATCCGAGAGCTTGCAAAAGTTATGACTCCGCATTCGCAGATTATTCGCATATTATTATTATTGTTATTTTTGTTAAACTATATGCTATGCGCTGCATAGCACAATATTACATATTATACGGAGCTCGAAAGTTTGAAAATTTATTCTACTGCGAACTCTGTGTGTATTATTATACGCATATTGTAATTTAACTTCTGTATATTATATACTTGAAGTTTTTGATACTGCTCTGTGTGTATGTGTGCGTGTGTGTGTGTGTGTGTTCGCTCGCACTCGGCTACTGTATATGTGTGTGTATGGAGGACACGCGATCCACAGAGAAAGAGGCAAACACGTAAATATAACATTATCATAATAAAGGGTAGAGATAATGCGTTATAGACAGAAAATTACATCACACGCGCGCTGCGCAACATCCATGTAATATTTTATACACTAAATATATACACGTTCACCCAACGAAATAAATATTCAATTGTGCTTTTCGGAGTCTGTATAGCTAGGGGAGTGTATTACGTTGTACAGCCGCGCGTGCATATTGCTGCTGCTGCTCGCGAGCGTACATGTGCATTAGAAGGGTTGCTGCTGCTGCTGCTTGTTGCAAGCTCGTCGTGCAGTATAAGTCTGCTTTCTACGCGTACGAAAATTAATTTCCGACAGAATGGAAAATTCGTTACTCCGTAAGCGGCTCTTCTCTTTCTCCCTCTATCGCTCTCCTTCTCTTTCGTCGTGTATAACATTTATTTTTCCCACGGCGCTCGTCCTCGTGCGTGTGTGTGTGCGTGAGCCTATATACTGGCGTTATTGCTTTGAACTTTGTCTATCATTGTCGACGCGCTGCTTATGAAACATTGAAAAATAAAAAAGAGGAAAAGAAATTCTGCCTCTCTCCTTTTGCCATCATCCTCTCACCCCCCCGAAAAACTTTTTCAACTTTCGACGTTCGAAACTTCTCTCCTTCCCTCGCGCTTTTCTCTTTCAATCACTCCTCGTTCGCTGCTTCTGCTGCTCTCTCTCTCTCTCGTTTTCTTCTTCTTCGAAGAAGAAGAACTACTATATAAACTGTGTGCGTCATATCGCCGATNATATAATTGTTACCCTCGCGCTCGATCGGCAAATCATCAAAATGTAAATTTTCATCCTTAAAACTTCGAGTCTCATTGAGGGGGAAAATCTCTGTCAAAGCGACAGAACGTGCTCGAGCGAGCGGTTGGGAAATATCGTAAGATAAATAAATCCCTTTAACTGCACCTTTATCGTCGTCGTTCATATGGAATATTCGTATTTCGTTTATGCGCGCTTTGCACTGTAGATACACAAGAACACGCGCGCGAGAACGTTTGTATAAATTGAAACACAAAATACACACACACAGGCTACATACTCGAAAATTACGCACAATTACATGAGTATATCGTTGAATTAATATCTTGTGTCAGCATTTGAATAATTGCGAATAGCACGCGAGCAATGTTTCTGTGTACAATTATGAATTTTGTTGAAAAATGTTTATATTTTTATATTTTTATATTTTGTTGAAAAATTTTTATATTTCATCGTTGACGAGATTATTTATGAAACATTGTGCCACGAAATAATTACTGTAGTTGAAATTTAAAACGTCAGCTGCTCTCTATTTCTCTGGCTAGACTATACAACGGTATCAGTAATACTAGTTGGAGTATGTGTGTATGTACACGGTGCATATAACGCATATATTCAGAATTACGCGCTCGTTTCGTATGTATGTGCTAGCTTCAAAACGACTCCCGGAGAGAGGAAGTGAGATTTTTTTTTGTTTTTCTCTTTTTTTTGCTTTAAAGCTGGGCCGAGCGTATGTGCAACTGACGTCTCGTTCGAGTACACCTTTTCCAAGGAGAGGAAAAGAGCTAGAGAAAAAGGAAAAAAAATGTTACCTTTTTCTTTTTGGCAAACTTTTCTCCGTCTATCTCTAAGTTTTGCGAAAATAATACGCGGGCAGCTAGGTTAAGAAGTCGGAAGCTGAGCAAGAACTGCGCTACATCGCTGACCCGCTTTGTAATTCAAGTGATGTAATGTAATCTTCAAGTAAATAATATAATTAAAAATCTTATCCATTACTAGAAATTAAGGATAAGATCTCTCTTTTTTTCGGCTGCATTTTAAAAAGATATTTGCTAAATGCACGCAACGTACTGAAAAACTTATGTTACGAGGAAAAAAATTATTGCTCGACTTTTTTTTTACTTACGATATGAAATCTTATTTTGATTTTATTCGTGTTATATGAGGGAGATTTTGGGCACCAAAAAAATTTTTTTTTTATTTGACGTATAAATGTTAGGTAGTGGCAATATATTATAAACTCTATTAATAATGGAATAAGGGTCAAAAAATGATCTTTCAAATGTTGAAACTTGGCTCGAAACGTTGTAATACATTTTTTAACACCAAGATCGTTTTGAAAATAATTTCTTGCCCATCAAAATCAATATAGGAATAATTTTTCATTACATTAAATACTCAGTTGGGCAATCTAGGATAATTCATCTATATAAAATTCATTTCCTTTAATTGGCTTGTTTTTAAAAAAAAATTCTGTTTCATTGGCCTGAAAATAATTGAATTATTTCAAAAATTTTGACCAGTTTTCTTCAGTCTTGTTAAATACGATAGTACCTCTTCAAGCATTCATTTTTAGATGGTGAAGTACCTTTATTTGTAAATCTGCAAGTGGCAAAGTAAAAATAATTGTAAAAGTGAGCATGGTTTTATAATAGTTAATCGAAGTAATCAGCTATAAACGGTTCACCCTTTTTATTAGGAAAACGACGTTTTCTTGAAACGGTAAAACATTTATTTCAGTATCAGTACACACGATTGATGAATGTCTTGCAATTATCATTAGGAATACTCGTAATTTTGTTTACGGAATGGCGCACTCTAAAATTAAAAGCAACCGAAATCCCATTCTTCCCGAATCTCGAAAGCGTGTACACGGGCTAACAATCGTCGCGCACAACACAGCTGCAGAGTTGAAAAAGCGTGTAATTTTAAAATCTCATTTTACTTCCTTTGTTGAGTAAAGAGAGAGAGGTAGATAGAGCCAGCTTAAAGGAAAAAATAGAAGAAGGAGAGAAAGAAAAACAACTTGTTAAAGAACGCATGTATATATTTCGCGTACGAGATGAAAAAAAAAAAAAAAAGAGAACGAAGGAGAAAAAAAGATGACTTGTCCACGCCGTGTACGCGCGCGCGCGTGTGTGCAGCAAAGCGAACGTCGAAAAATAACAGAACAGTGCAAGAGGCGCTCGCGCACACACGTATAGCTCAACGTTTTTATATATTATATAACGGGGCAAATATTCACGGGCCGAGTGCGTGTGTGTATGCATGGTGCTTTTTCGTACTCGGAGATCCGCACATATAGGGATTTCTGTTTCTCTGTCTTTCTTCCTCCTTAGGGGGGGGGGGGGGTACGTGTACGCATCCACATTCCACGCTGCTTACAGCGAGAATCTCGCACCTCGCACACATATTTCATCGCATTAGCTTCGCCGACTCCGAGTCGAGTTTATCTATACCTATATACTCAGCATACGTATTATGGCACATAGTGTCTCTTATTGTCTGCAGTATTTGTGTCTCTGTATGAGTGTGTGTGTGCATGTATACGAT